TGCAGGTCAAAATATACAATAATACACAAAAACATAATGAATGTGGGAGAGAAAATATGGCGTAAGTTCAATAGTAAAGAAAACAAAGAAAAGATACTTCTAGTCTCTACTTTGCATTTAGCTACTTTTAATTTCTACTTAGCATTTTGCTACTTTTTGCTTTTAGTTAGCTTTTGCTACTTTTAGCTAGTGTGTTGCTATATTGGGCTTTTACCTTGTGTTCTGCTTGTTTTATCTGTAAAAACTCATTCAAGAGACTTCATTAATCCTGGTTGTTTGTTTAATCTTCGTTCTGTTAGTTTTTGTTTGTTTTACTAGTTTAGCTTTTTTTTTAAACTCTAACGAGGTCAGAGCTGTAAATTAGCCTCTGGCTAGGAGTCCTGTGCACGACCCCAGCTTTGTGTAAAAATAAAAGCTGGAATAAATTATCAGCTTAACTGTTTGATCACAGAAAACAACAAACGTGTTTTCATTATCACCTTCAGCACATTCGGCTTGTTTACTGCTGATCAGAGCTGAAACAAGTTGACAACATTAACCTGATTCAGCTCAAACTCTCAGACTGAAGGTCCTGAAACACTGGAACAGTTGGACAACTTAGACCACCTTCTGAACATTTTAGGACTAAAGACCTCAGAGGTTCAGGATCAGATCTGGGGTTTATGTCCAGCAGAGACCTCCAGATGATCGTCTCAGTCCATCTTRKGTTTAGACGTCTTTAAAGTTGGACCAAGTTTTCATAAAARTTTATAGTGTGACAGGACCTTGACCTGGATTCAGAACACCAGAGGAGCAGGTCCAGCTGAACAGAACCAAAACCTGGGTGGGCTACAGAAGACCTGATGACCCATATAAGAACACCAGGTTCTGACTCCAGCTCCTCACTGGTTCTAATCTAAAGGTTCTGTTCAGTTCTGGAATTTTAGACGAACTGATGGGACCAGTTCTGGAATCTTAGAAGGAACCGATGGGACCAGTTCTGGAATCTTTGAAGGAACTGATGGGACCAGTTCTGGAATCTTTGAAGGAACCGATGGGACCAGTTCTGGAGTCTTAGGAGGAACTGATGGGACCAGTTCTGGAGTCTTTGAAGGAACTGATGGGACCAGTTCTGGAGTCTTTGAAGGAACTAGTGGGACCAGTTCTGGAATCTTTGAAGGAACTGATGGGACCAGTTCTGGAATCTTTGAAGGAACCGATGGGACCAGTTCTGGAGTCTTAGGAGGAACTGATGGGACCAGTNAGGTGAGTGTTTCACACAGACAGGTGAGTGTTTCACACAGACAGGTGAGTGTTTCTGACAGACAGGTGAGTGTTTCTGACAGACAGGTGAGTGTTTCACACAGACAGGTGAGTGNTGTGTGTGTGTGTGTGTGTGTGTGTGTGTGTGTGTGTGTGTGTGTGTGTGTGTGTGCTCTAATAATGGTCCTCCGAAGGACACTTCACAGCTCCAATCATCATCAGTTGCCAGGCAACACAGAGAGAGTGCGACTGACAGAAACACACAGCTCCATTATTACTGTTCCTGAGGGCCAGAGGTGTGAGTGTGTGTCCGTCTGTTAGCGCACTGTCTCATCAGCCGCTGAAACCAGTGACTCAATGAACTGGATTCAAGATGGCCGCCATGGCAACCTGACCCTAACAAATACAAAAACGGAAATAATTCAAAGATATTGAGCTAAAACCTGAAGCTGAGACTCATTCCCAACAGATACAACGAGCTAACACATCAGACATCAGCTTCACAAGATTTTACTTACTTTACTAGTTAGCATTTTGCTACTTTATCGTTTTAGTTAGCATTTTGCTACTTTATCGTTTTAGTTAGCATTTTGCTACTTTATGCTTTTAGTTAGCATTTTGCTACTTTATAGTTTTAGTTAGCATTTTGCTACTTTATGCTTTTAGTTAACATTTTGCTACATTTTGCTTTTAGTTAGCATTTCGCTACTTTTAGTTTCTACTTAGCATTTTGCTACTTTAAGCTTTCAGTTAGCATTTTGCTACTAAATGCTTTTAGTTGGCATTTTGCTACTAAATGCTTTTAGTTAGCATTTTGCTACTTGACGCTTTTAGTCAGCATTTTGCTACTTTTAGTTTCTACTTAGCATTTTGCTACTTTATGCTTTTAGTTAG